GTGGAAATCAATGCCAGATAGAGTAGCTGCAATATTGGAATCAAGGGGTGGTTATATAAAGTATTAGCTGGTTTTATTTATTATTTTATTTCTCTAAAATATAAATAGTAGTTCATTGATAATTAGCTATTTGATCATTAAGGGTTGATCATGCTCACAGTACATGCATGTGCTGTTAACAACCCTACCATTACTCTACTGGTCCTACAAATCCCATGTAACAACTGCAATTAAATGTGTCTCAGATCATGAACACTTCTGACGAGGCACTATAGTTATTTAGAGAGTAGTACTATAGTATAATATAAAAGGTCTCAGGAGTATTTTATTTTCATCTGCTATTACTAACTAAGCTATCACTAAGACTTTTATCTAGTGACTATATCTTTATACAATTATCTATCATTCTTTTCTACCTATTACTTTATAAATAAATATCTTAATATATTTTACAATTATCTTTATTATTATATAAAATATAATTTTAAATAGCTGAGATACTTGACACTAGTAAGAATTTAATTTCTGCTAACTAACTGATATATATTAACATGATTTTCTAGTTGTATTAGGACCCTCAAATGCTAAAAACATAATTTTTTACTTATAAGTAAATATAGAAAGTTGTATAAGCTTATATTCTAGTATTAGTTAATAGTATCTGCATCTCTCTGGTACTTTATTCAAATATTCCAAGGCAAGTGAAGGTCAATTACAGTGGCTATGACAACCCTTGTAAAGATTGTAAGAATCCTTTTTCAACCAAACAAATATCTAAGTTAAAAGATTTTAACCAGTCTCTAGAGTTCAGAATTATTTCTAGAGTATACTATGATATCTTTCGAAACTAGTTTTTAATTTTTTAAAAAAATTCTCTTCATATTGTATGATATGATTTCAGAGGTCTGGTAAAGCTATCTGAAATCAAGTTTGATACAGTGCCAGTTATGAACCTTCAGAACTCTATATCTTCCATGGTACAGTAAAGTTTACTAGCTATAAATTAATGATCTCTATACATGCTAAGTATACATAAAACAGCAAAGTAAGCTAAAATTTTGCTACATTTTCAACTTTGAAAACCCCTAGTAGGAATCTAGGACCTATACGGGGGTAAACGGTCCCTGCGACGGTAAAAAATAAGGTAAAACACTTTAAGAGCATTTGTTGCAATGGAAACCTCATTGTGACGTGACCGTCTAGTTGTACCATAGCAACTCGGGACGTAGACGGCTGGGTAAACGGTCCCTAAGATGGTAAAAAATAAAGTAAACACTTTAAGACCGTCTATTGCAACCGAAGCCTCATTATGACATGACCGTCTAGTTGTACCACAGCAATTTGAGACATAGACGGTTGGGGAAGCGGACCCTAACTTTGATAACTCAAACCGGGTTAAGGGCATCTGGCTCAATTTGCGCATAGCACCGATACAATCTCTGAATCTGATCAGCGCACGACTATCAAGAAACTGGACAACCCCCCCTTCCGCACGCCCCCAGAAGGGACCGCAACCGAAACAAAAAGCAAGGCCTCTAACTACAGTAAACTTGTCCGGCTCCGCGCTCCTCTAGCACCTCTCGTCCATGCAGGAAGTATCCGAAAACGCAAGTGGTCAGCTTTTACGGGCCCATTTTTTGCCATACCTTTCGCGAATACCTCTCTTCGAATACTTCCCTCTTGGGACGAGTATTGTATAGTAGTATACTGTACGAAGTTCAACTTTGAAACTATAAAACCCTCTTCAATGCTCACTTTTTCCTCACCGCACGCCTTCCCTCTCGGAATAAATCTCAATTCCTAAAATGCAATTGCCACGGCTCCTTACTTCCCTGCTATTTCTTAGCCCCCTAGTCGTATGTCATGCTGTGACATCTCCGGATAAGAAGGAGGTTTACACTGCTGGAGGTGGGAAGTGTAAGAATCCGCTTGTTCGAAGGGAGTGGTGAGTAGCTTTTTAAAAAAAAAAATCCCCTCTTTGCAACCCCTTGATCTTGAACTAAATAGCTAATGATTGAGAATAGGCGTCTCTTGCCGGACCAGGAGAAAAAGAATTATATTGATGCCGTTAAATGCCTGCAGACCCTGCCTGCCCTTACCTCCAATGTGGTCCCAGGCGCAATCACTCGATTCGATGACTTCCAAAGCATACATATTCGTCTAGCGGAGATTATCCACAACGTGGTGTGTTATTTCTTTGAGTGGAGAGACCTGCAGGATGTATCCGAAGGCTGATATCATGAGTCTCTCTCCCCTACCCTAGGGTTTGTTTCATCACTGGCATCGATACTTCGTTTGGTTCTATGAGAAGGCTCTGAGAGAGGAATGCGGTTATAATGGTGCACAACCGTAATTCTCCTCTCCCACTTCCCCTCCACCCTCATCAATGCTAAATTAGAGTTACAGCTACTGGGACTGGACCCTCGACTCCGCCTCAGAGTCCGCCTTTCTCAACTCTCCCATATGGTGCCCCACAACCGGCTTCGGTGGCAATGGGCCTTACATAAACGAGTCCGGAAACCCCTTCCTCAGCATTCCTGGCCGCACAGGCGGTGGCTGCGTCCCAGACGGCCCGTTTAGCAACTACACCCTCCATCTTGGGCCCCGTGGATCGATCGCCAAAAACCCCCAATGCCTCCGCAGGGACTTTGCACCCTTCATCTCACCCCTAAGGCTCACAAAAGAGCTTGTGCGCCTCCCGCACTGCGAGAAGGCCTTCGACTGGTATGACTTTAAGGCTCAAGCGGGGGCTAGAGAGGCCGGTTTCTTCTTACACGAGTCCTCCTTCCATTCAGCGCCTCACATAGCCGTTGGTGGGGAAGCTGGTCAGATGGGGGACATCTATGCTAGCCCTGGAGACCCGATATTCTACCTTCACCACGCTGGCGTCGACCGCGAGTGGTGGAAGTGGCAGAATGTTGACCCAGAGACGAGACTTAAGGACGCTAGGGGTCCCTCCATTAGATTCGACTTTCCCTTTGGGAATAATTTCCGCGGGGGGAATATCACGTTGGAGCATGAGATTGGACTTCTAGAGCTGGCCCCGGTGGTGCCATTGCGCAAGGTTATGGATACGGAAGGGGATTTGCTGTGTTATTCTTATGCTAAGGAGAAGGCGGTGTATGATCCCACAACGGAGAAGTGGGTTGCTGAGGAGCTTAGTGCAGAAGAAGAGGATTGGGAGGCTTGTAAAAATTAGGAGTACTAGGAACCTCAATCCCAATGATTTAAAACCCCTCCCATTGCGCACCGCATTAACTAGAATTCTCGAACCTCACGCTAGCATGTCAGAGTCGCCTCTCCTAATAATGTCTAAATTATTTCTCCTTTCGTTGTCTTTCCCGTGTGCTGAAAGCCCTCCCCCTCTGTTCTCACATAGGGTAACTCCTGGATGTCAGCCCCTGGTTCAACTATTCCAGCTCTTGCTGTATGTAGCTCACTTTTTCTATTAATTTAATTAATTCAAAGAGCTCCCCACGGAGTGGTGGCCAGGCCAAAGAAATGCTTCCCAACTACTCCCCCACCTGCTTATATCAGTAGTGTATCAGTATTAGTTGATATGAGTATTGCAAGAGCTTTCTCTGTAGCCCTAGGCCCCTAGCTCAAATGTCCAGTTGGATATTCACACTGTCCCCGTAGAGCATTCAACATCCCGCTATTTATCCGGCTATTCAGCTACTATTCTACTTTGAAAAACAGCAACAGATCTCAAGGTTATCACATCTCATTATAAGGTAAATTTCACAACCTTTTTTTTTTTGCTGAGAATCTCGGGTTCGATCAAGGCATCTCACATGTTTTACAGCTTCCGATTTCTGTAGGAGCCCTGCGATGCTTACATCTAGAGCATACAACCTGGGGATCCGTAGATGCCCGAATATTCAAGACTTCCAATCAGCCGTTCGTCAAGAACTGCGTACTATACAGATCTTATACCTGCGGGTTCTGTTAATTACGCCATGGGAAAAATAACCTGAACTTTCCTCTCTTCTGGTTCCCGGGTAAGAGGCAGGTACTAAGTGCCTTCGATCCAATGCAATTGGGACCAATGCACATGTCGGTAGAGAGGATCTGATAAGAGGAGCAGACAACCTAAAACACGTTTTCATAATACAATCCCGAATTCAGCCTTATGACTAGATGAAGACATTCTTCCCTCCACTCTCCACAGGGCGGATTTATCAGGGGTGAGTTGTTATCTTCTCCTCTGAGCCCACCCGATACCATCATTGCGATTGCCTGCTGAGCGTGTGGGCGAGGAAATATGTGAGACCCTCAATAACTTCTTCCCTCCTAAAAATTTCCATGGTCGTTTAGTAACCAGGAAGGGGCCAAAACACACCCAAAGTGACCGATTTCGAGCTACCATTACATAACCAGTACGGGAGGAAACAACCTAGAAAAAATTCAAAAAGCAATCTCCTACAGTAGCACGAATATGAAAAAGTGTGCGATTTTTTCCTTCCATTCTCCCAGAGTTGAGGTGTGGAATGTTCAGTTCTATGAGGTACCTGCCAAGACAAAGGCTCTTGTACGGGAAAGGTACCGTACATTGTAACAGACCTTACCCAATTCATGTGCCCACAGTTATCTACAAATAACAGAAAAAAAAGCCAAAAATAAATATATATTATATCTCAGACATGTCACATATTTCTAATTTTTCTTTTCAGAGCTGAGTCCCAAGATATCTGCGGAGCTATCATGGCTCGAAAACCCGCAATTTAGTGTGCTTTGGCCTCTGTCTGGTTACCCAATGACCTCAAGTAATTATCGCACTCGAGTGACAATTCATGAAGCTGGGTTCACGCCGATCTTGACAAGCCAGGGATCAAGTTGTCATAGTTCACTTCACCAAATTTTACATAATACTGTCAATCTTCAAGATCCCGCTCTAGGGGACACGTATCTCCAGGAATCCCACCCATAAATGCCAAATAACGATTAATCTACCCCAACTTTCATCAGAAAGTGCCTATGTACTAGTGATAGTCTAAACCACAGGCCACCCAAAGCCCCAATTAATAGGCGTATAACAAGATCTTTTCTGGCCATCGCCATATATTGGTCTTAGTGTCCACTGCAGCCGGATCAGCATTCGAACAAATGCTGCACGCAACGCGTATGGAATACGAAACTTACCATAGCGATAATAAATAATCTCACTACCGGCAACGGGATCGGGTAATATACCCCATTTTAAAGATTAGGTTAATCCCTACTTAATGATGAAACCCGATATACTTACTACCCACCGGGACTGTAGACCTTACCATGCGAGGGGGGCACCGTGGTTCCCCCGCTAGCAGTGCATTCCACAGCATCCTTAACCACCTATCCAGCAGCGTGGATAGGGGTCTTTAGTCATTGGGGGAAGCACATATCTGCTGTTCACAGAGATGGGCCTGCAGATATTGATTCTATATTCTATTCTTTGAGTAGGGCGGCTAGAGTCATATCAACAACAGATCCCGGCCGAGAGGAAGAGGTAGCAGTGCGGGCTTCCGACACCAGATAAATCCGCCCTCGATGGCATGTGATCAGGTGGAATTATACTCCATCCTCCTGGGGCTACCAGAGGAAGAGAGTGGTGGATTGCTCGTGGGAACCTATAAAATTACTTCACCAGCAAATCCATTTCCCAAAAATCATGCATGATTCCAGGAGGGAACACATTATAGCTATCGCCCCAGAAACTTCTAAAGGGTATAATTTCGATCCGTCCCTTGCAAGCAGAACGGTACCGTCGATGGCACCGTATGTGCTGGCGGCCCCGGTACTCCCACAATCCGTCCAGGCCCTCGTGTCCATGGCTGTCGACAGTGTTCCCAACGGGCCATGTAGGCCAGGCTGAACCGAAGCCTGGCCCGGCCCACCGCGACTATGGGGGACTTTGCCCGGCCGGAGCCCGCATGCCCCGAAAAACCTGGGCCTGGCTTGGCCGGGCCCAGCTATAGGCCGTATAGGCTAAGTACCTGCCACCTGATAGACCGGCCCAACCTATATAGCCTAGCCTAGCCGAGCCTAGCCTATGAATACGGGCCTACAATCTCTTCAGATCTTAGGTTTCCATTCGGCGCACCTTTCGTTCTACTAAACCAGCCCGAGTTAGTCCCGTGAGAACCGTAAGCTATATAGCCCCTGCCCAAATCCCACGAGGCGGTTTTAATAGAATAGAACTAGTATCAGTAAGATCCTAATAGTATTAGACACTGATCCTATGTGTGGGTAGTGATATGGATTTGCTCATGGTTGATGAAAATCCCCGAGGCCGAATAGGACTGGGTCAACCATAGCGGGCACATTCACTAATGGATTTAATACAATTCCTGCTGAAGAAACTGAATCGGAAGGAAATATTGTGAGATAGGACTGCGTTGGAGAATCTGGATGTAGACCGCCTGGACTTTGTTGGGCTGTTTGTGGATCGGTAATGGCGTAGTTATTACACTTTAACCAATAACTGAGGATATAGATAAAATAACATAGCATAATGAAAGTTGTAAGGAATCGAGCTACTCTTAAAATAATCAGCTCTAAAAATTCTACTTGCAAGCCTGTAGGCTTCTGCTAGGCCTGATAGGATTTTGCAGGCCGGCCTATCAGTGGCCTAGCCCGTTGGGAACACTGGCCGTCGAAGTGGCGACATCAATAGCGCTCTCCCAAGAACCGGAGGTGGAGACAGAGTAGTAGGCATAGTACTATAAGTATCCCCAACTTCCGTCACTCCCGGGGCCCAAAGGTCCTCATCACCGGAAACGTCGATCCCAGGTTCTCTAGAAGAGCACTACCCCTGTTGGTCCATGGTCCGGAAGCAAGGAGGCGCGATTCTAATATTGTTACTAGTGAAGGATCGGAAGTAAATTCCATCAGGTACGACCTATTACCGGTAGATCATAGACTTTGCAAGCTCCAGAACTCGGGGGAGGGATTTCACATGAGAGTGTTGTGAGGACAAAGGTTGCCAAGAGAAGGAGCAGGCTGAGAAACACCACGCTTGGTCCCTAGGACTATTACTTGATGATGAGATGTTTGGCCATTTTAAGCAATTCTTCTAGAAGGTTGTAAAAGTAATACTAGATCAGTATCCAGATAATACCCTAAAAACTAGGATAATTGAGAATCTCACGATTGGTGATTATCTTAGTTTCTTCTCCTACTAAGCTCTGCTGTATTCTTTTCCCCTTGTATCTTAACCTACAGCCAAAACCGAATTCTTTGACCGAGCCTTTTCCTCTTCATCCAAAGGAGGAAATTATAGAGGTCCCAGTGTCATTCTGAGCTGTCCCAGTTTTTGTGATTATAGACCAGTAGTCTAGAGGCATCATGCTGAGTAGTTTGTAACATGTACTCTCAAAGGGCTCCTTGTGCTTATAGACTATTTCGTCACTGGTCCCAATAGATACGTAGAATAAGGCCTCAGTTTGAACCCCTAGTAACTTTATTACCAACTAAAGAAGGATATTCCCCAGAACTCGTTAACTCTTGTAAGTAGGATCTTCTAGGCGTAGCTCACAATATACCTAGGGAGATAATCATAGTAGGGCTTTCACCTGGTCACCCGGTCAATTCCTGGGGTCCTGATGCGCCCGTTCCCGGTCGGTGGAACCGCGCGACAATCAGGCACCGTGCCGTAAAAACTCGATAGATCCGCCATCGGAGATCAGGAGGCTGAGCTCAGTTACAGAGATTAAAGTATGAAAACTAACACATCGAGTCACCGGCGGTGATACTGAAATTAAAGACTCGCACAGGCTATACCAGGTCGAAACTTTATCGGTACCATACCTATGTTATAGAATATAATATTATATAATATTATAATACAATTTTTAAAGTCAAGATTAAGCACTCAAGTGTCTATTCTCATATTGCTCCTCATATACAAATATATCGAATTAATACAAATTGATTTCCTGAATAAATTACTGGTAATAGTTAAACTAACCTGAGTCCAAGCCTTCTTTCTGAAGCTTCCGCTGTTATATAAGACATTTGACTAATGAGATAGATAAGTCTTAGTAGCCTGGTAGGTTGAGACTTATGTGTAGTGCCTTTTATATAGTCAAGTTCTGGCAGTACATATGTAATAAGCTATCTTATCTAGTAATAAATTCTACAGCAAGTGAGGTACCAGAAGGGCATAAAGACTAAATAAATAGCTCAAGTAGAAAACTAACTATAGAATCTCAAAGGTCAATGTTCAAGAGGATAATTTATATTGCCATAGTGGATGAAAACATGCACTTACTAAAGTAAAATTGTATATTGGTAGCTGCTTCCTCTTACTACCCAATCCATACAAGTATACTCTAAATATGTGGGTCTTGTAGCGGTCGAGGCAAGGTTTAAGGGATATCACGGATCCACTGTTGAATGCCGTCAGGCACCTGCACACCGGCAAGTGCACAACCAGAGTGCAACATGGCTCAATATTCATGACTTATGGTAGCCCCGTCCAGAGCATTGCTCGGCATTACTCGCGACTTCCAAGCCGGGGACCGCATGTCTGGGGATAGTTTCGCCTCCGTGATGTGCCCATTGAGACCCCACCGACTTACAGGAACACATGACAGCTAATAAGGGAAGTAACAGTAGCAGATGGACAGACGGGTTGTTCAGAAACCAGGTGCGAACGGAGGCAACGAAATAGGCCTGCCACCTACGAACAAGATACGATCCAGGGCGTCCTTGCTGCTCCCCCGGGAGCCCTCAACCGAACAAACTACAAAGGCCAACGGAGAAAACCCCGGCAGAGAGGAGCGACCACTCCCAACTGGGGTCTGTCTTGGGAGAACCGCAAACACCTCAGGGAATCCTTAGAGAGCAAGAAGCGATCCCAATATCAAACCGGGTACCGAAAGGTTTGCGAGTGAGAACATGTGATTACCCCCAAAATAATTAAAGGAAAAATACGGTCCTGCTTGGAGGGAGACAAGGTAATGATATATGAGCTCTCTGGAGCTCTAGGATTGTTTCAAGCTCCAAGCGCATTACGAGAGGTAGATCATCACTACCAAGCATGGCGGATTCCCCCTCTTCCCAATATTACCTTCAGAGATGTCAAGTTACAGGTTTGGAAATATATGTAGAAATATGGTCTAGACCTGTAGCCTGTATCACACAGTCCCCCGCCCTCGCTGTCGAGGCAAATCCTTTGGAGAATCGACAGCGGCGAACTGAAAGTGGTTAAGGTTCCACCGGATTTTCCTGAAATACGGAAGGTCTGAAGTAAGGAGTCAAGATCCAAGCTCTGTCACTGAATGCACACCAGTAGTTTTACCTTACGATGACAAGCCATCCGGTCTTGAAGTCACAAGACAGTAACCACCGCACAGTCGCGTCCTCTCGCTCGTTTGCCGTTTGCATTATAGGATCGGTGATGGAAAAAGTCTCTTTTGTGTACACTCTACCACGCTTCTTTATTTTTTAGAGTTTCTTTTGCGCAACCTTTGATGAAACTTAAACAAAGGAACTAAAGGATGAAGCGGCAAAAGCCACCCCACCATAGGATCAATGCGCAGCGGGGCGTGGAAGGATGGCGAGAATGGGGTATCAATGATCGATAACGGTGGTAATGAGCAATACCATAGAGATGCTAGCTACTGACAGAACAGGAGATAAATATCTCCAAATAGCTAAGGCCTCCGGAAACCAAATGAAACACCGCGAACACACTAAAGGATCACACTATCCGGACAAATCATGATCTTCCGTGCTCCACGAAAATCCAGAGCCTTCATAACACCTCATAAACCCCCAACAAACCACCGTTTGCCCAATGGCATACATAGGGTGTGAAAGAAGCAAAAGAAATCCCCAGGCCCGATGGCCTATGGCAACGGGTAACAATACTAGCAGGATACCAGAAAACTATGCCCCATTAGTGCATGATCACCTAACCGAGGGCCCGATAGGCGATCCAACAATTTTCTTTCCGTACTCCCCCTAATAATTTCTAGCCGTCTCAGGATTTTGTAGCTTCTCTGTTATTGTATTTTGGCAAACCATAATACTATTAAAGTAACAGGTGGTCGGGTGAAAACAACTTTATCCCTCGAAATATTTATATCTCGATCCTCTTGAGGATTTCAGTGAGGGGGACGTGCCCAGCTTGTGGAAATTCCGAATCTCTATCTCTCTCTATCTCCCTCAATCAATCTTCACCGTGATCTATAACATTCATAAATCACTCAGGCCATGATTCTGTAGCCACAGTTCCCATAATTCTAAAGTTCTCCTTCCTCCCCCACGCTACCCACATTCAACTACAGTGCCTTCTTGGCCAGTGAATTTTGGTCAATGAGCCCAAGAATAATCCCCACTCGATGAGGCTTCCATACCGAACAGTCTTTGTGTGCCAGTAAAAAAAATAGCCTCATCAAATTCCTAGATCTCGAAAGCTCACGACCGATGGGTTGATGAATCTAAAGATCACCCCGCAACAGCAGCGAAGCCCAAGGATGACAGCACCTAATAGCGCAGTCTAATTGGCCAGTTTAGAACTCGGTGCGTTGCTAGAGATTTAATTCAAGCTGGGAACAATACCCGCAGTCCGAGTATCGGGGGGCAGCCAGAGGGCTCAACCCTACCGAGTGATCGGATATGCGGAATATCCACATCCTGCAGCCCAATATCACCTACATATCCCGCACCCTGGAATCCCGATGAAGGGGTCACGTTACCTATGATGGTTCGGATCAGCAGGGCCCTCCAAATGGGTGTTCCTGCCCTTCATCTTCTCCCACTCTTGCCCCACTCTTGCCTAACCCAAGTAATTTCCAGAAAAGCCACTGCTAAGATCTCATAGCACTAGTGGTAGTGCCAGCTCACTCACTCTCTCCCTCTCTCACTAATTCCAGTACCGGTAATCTCCCCCACTCCTCCTTCCCGAATCATCTTCCAAAAAAAACCCCATGTCGCCGATCACCCCCACCCGGATAAACGCCACCATCCCCAATCACGCGACACCAAATAAAGCTCCCCAGCCCACCTAATAGACCGTCCACACTTGCCTACAGACAAAAAACTCAACATTTCCCCATCCGTAGAAAACATCGGGCAAAAGAATGCACTCAAGTCTTCTTTGTTTTTTTTTGTAATTGCATCTTTTCCATGCAATGTTTCTCGCAGTATCCGGAATTGTAAAGCGCGCATAGAAGAGAGAAGGAGGAGCGTTGGGGCGGTGCTCAAGTACAGTAAATCAGTGCATAAACCCCTTGAGCGTACGCAATGGATGTGCTCGGGGCCGGCGACTTGGTCAATGTTTTCCCCTTTCCTGCAGAAAATTTCTAAGACAAAAAATATCAGCCTCAGCGCCCCATACCCCAAAAAGGGAGGTACCTGAATAGAGAATACCGGTAGCAGTCACTAGCTTCTTCGGCTCAGGTTCTCACCGGCCGCCAAGCAAATAATACGTCCC